CCCTGTGCCATCCCAGCCCCATTCCCTGTGCCATCCCAGCCCCATTCCCAGTGCCATCCTAGTGCCATTCCCTGTGCCATCCCAGCCCCATTCCCGGTGCCATCCCCCCCCCATTCCCTGTGCCATCCCAGCCCCATTCCCAGTGCCATCCTAGTGCCATTCCCTGTGCCATCCCAGCCCCATTCCCAGTGCCATCCCAGTGCCATTCCCTGTGCCATCCCAGCCCCATTCCCAGTGCCATCCCAGTGCCATTCCCAGTGCCATCCCAGCCCCATTCCCAGTGCCATCCCAGCCCCATTCCCAGTGCCATCCCAGTGCCATTGCCGGTGCCATCCCAGCCCCATTCCCGGTGCCATCCCAGCCAATTCCCAGTGCCATCCCAGCCCCATTCCCAGTGCCATCCCAGCCCCATTCCCGCTGCCATCCCAGTGCCATTGCCGGTGCCATCCCAGCCCCATTCCCGGTGCCATCCCAGCCCCATTCCCTGTGCCATCCCAGCCCCATTCCCAGTGCCATCCCAGCCCCATTCCCTGTGCCATCCCAGCCCCATTCCCAGTGCCATCCCAGCCCCATTCCCGGTGCCATCCCAGCCCTATTCCCGGTGCCATCCCAGCCCCATTCCCGGTGCCATCCCCAGTGCCATTCCCAGTGCCATCCCAGCCCCATTCCCTGTGCCATCCCAGCCCCATTCCTGGTGCCATCCCAGCCCCATTCCTGGTGCCATCCCAGCCCCATTCCCGGTGCCATCCCAGCCCCATTCCCGGTGCCATCCCAGCCCCATTCCCGGTGCCATCCCAGCCCCATTCCCGGTGCCATCCCAGCCCCATTCCCTGTGCCATCCCAGCCCCATTCCTGGTGCCATCCCAGCCCCATTCCTGGTGCCATCCCAGCCCTATTCCGGTGCCATCCCAGCCCCATTCCCGCTGCCATCCTAGCCCCATTCCTGGTGCCATTCCTGGTGCCATCCCAGCCCCATTCCCGGTGCCATCCCAGCCCCATTCCCGCTGCCATCCCAGCCCCATTCCCTGTGCCATCCCAGCCCCATTCCTGGTGCCATCCCAGCCCCATTCCCAGTGCCATCCCAGCCCCATTCCTGGTGCCATCCCAGCCCTATTCCCGGTGCCATCCCAGCGCCATTCCCGGTGCCATTCCTGGTGCCATCCCAGCCCCATTCCCACTGCCATCCCAGCCCCATTCCCGCTGCCATCCTAGCCCCATTCCCGGTGCCATTCCTGGTGCCATCCCAGTCTCATTCCCTGTGCCATCACCCCGTCCCCATTCCCAGCGCCGTTCCCTGTGGCGCCCCATTCCCATTCTCCCGTTCCTGTTACCATTCCCAATCTCCCATTCCCATTGCCATTTTCCCATTCCCCCATTCCCATTCCATTTCTCCCACTCCCATTCCCGTTCCCCCATTCCTGTTCTCATTTCGATTCCCATTCCCCCATTCCGATTCCCTCATTCCCCCATTTTCCTTCCCATTCCCATTCCCCCATTCTCGTTCCCTCATTCCCATTCCCCCATTCCT